GCAGGAAGGACCTGTGCCAGATCGGTCAACAGTCACACCACTAAATTCCAGGAGCAGGTGTGTTCAGTGTGCCAAAATCTGTTTCACACTTACAGCAACCATACACTCAAAGAAAGATAAAATTTCAGCATAGGCTGTAGCCATTTATTCCAAACTGCAACTGGGAAAGCCTCAGCCCTGCGTACACCCAAACCAACACTGGGAAGAAATAAACAAAACAAAGCATGAATTTTGCCAGTAACCAGCAACAAATAGAACCCAGATCTGTCAACAGATGCCAAGACAGGAAGATCCTAGCAGCAAGCTGGCCCCTTCTGAAGAATCAAAGCTGTGGGACCAACTCATGCCTTGAAAATCCCTGAATTTCAGAGTGATATTTATGTTCTGAGTTTGCAGGATTGGGATTTGGTTACAAACGACCTTTAAATTGAGAGTGAAAGTCAGAGAATAAATTTTTGAAAAGTTTCGCTGAGAAAAGTAAAGAAAAGCACATATAGACACAGATATGGATTAGGTACAGATATATCCCTCAAAGCTCCAGCTGAAAAATAATTCTTTCAATAATGCAAATCCTACTGATGGCTGAAACCTGAAATATGCAGTTAGGCTGGTGCTGGAGAAGCCAAGGAAGACAAGGAGATGAGGAGCTTTACCTATTCTGAAATGTATTGTTTACAATTGCATTGAAGACAAGGCGGTCACCAACAACGGACGGTCCCCAGAATTTAAACATATTGACTGATTTCAGGGTGGGATATGAACGACAAAGGCGGCTGAAAAAGAAAGCAAGAGAGACAGAGCAAAACATACAGTTGTGTTAAAGACCCTCCTTTGCTAGGTTTGAAGTGGGTAGTGATTAGAGCAACAAGGTTTGCACAACCTAGAAGATAAGGATATTACACTAATTTATTCCATAACCCACTGAAATACAGTTAACATGTTCAGCTACAAGAGCATATAATTCGAGCTTCAAACATAATAATACCACTTATGTCATGCTGTTTCATTTTCAACACACTTTACAAACACCAACTAATTAATTCTCACTGCTTGATATTACCTTCTTTTGGAGCCAGACCATGAATCCCTTACCTACAGAGTAACCACTTACTTCACAGAGTTTCATTAATTTCTATATGACTGCATGGGGAGTAGGATATTGCTCAGTATCTACAAATGCCAGATTATAAAGCCTTTAAACAATTAAAAGAAACCTGAGCAGAAAGGTTGAGCACCAGAAAGAGTTTTTAAGAGTGTTCAAGCAAAGAAATGTCAATCTATCTATTTTTAATACTTACACTTTTTTGCTTGTTTGTCAGATGTTTTCTGCTAATGTTATATGAAATAAGAATAAAAAACTACTCAGGTAACTGCCAAATACATAGTTGGTTTTAGTTTGTTTGTTTGTTTGTTTTTAATTTGGTCTGGTTTACTAAATTATGTGGAGTTTGCTACTGGTGCTCAGCTGGGAAACTCATCTTTGCAATACAAAGGGATGGAAAGATGTTGAACTGATCACTCATCAAAACTGTTGGCTAAGTTTCAAAAGCTGAAGGCACAACAGCGTGTTACAAACACACAGGTCTTACTAATTCTGTTCCCTTTGTCTTTCCAATTGCATAGTGCATCCACTCACCTGTTTTTTCTTATTTCAGACCTGATCTTGTATTGTGTTCAATCACATGTAGTTGGGTTCAGCTGGACTCGAATGGCTTGTGAAACAGGCTGCAGCCACTCTGGTAAAATTTTGCTCTCTAGGACAGAATATTAAGTCTGTTCCAGATGACTACCCTTTCCACGAGCATACTAGCAAAGCTGCTCTTTCGACCGGTATAGTGGACAAACAGACATACACCTGATCCAACCCAGCTACACTGCTAAAGGAAAAGTTTTGCAATACTGTGCCATCTACACTAGGGAGTTCCAACAACGCACCACTTCTCTGACCTTCACAGACATTCCAGAAAAAAATCTGCAGTATGGATACAGCTTAAGGCTTCGTGGAATTGGGATCTAGTCTGCAAGCTCTCTGAAGTGGGCAAAAGTTGGGTTTCTTCAGCAGTTGTAAAAGTAGCCAAAGCCCCACTCTTTACTGGGATGTCTGTGCATCATATGAATAGAGAGCAATATACAATAATGCAATTTATTTTTAGACATTGAAAAAACACACTCTGTTCTCATGCGTGTGTGCAAAACTCCTCAGTAAGAATCCCATATGCAGATTTGAGAATAGATTTTTCATTGTGCAGTTTTTAAACTTGAAAATACGACTGTCTTGTGTTCCTAGCTTTTAACTCAACTGCACTCTGCAAACTAATGTACCAGTATTGTTAAACGCATGCAATTATCTGTAGCTAATTAATTGACTGGTACATCTTTTTAATAGACTAATACATTCAAATGACTTTGTAATTTCATTAAGAATAATTTCCTCTTCTGATTTAAAATGCTAAATAGTGATCTGATCTACAATGTTCACTATAAAGATGCAAACGCAATATTATTGAAAATAAGAGAGGAACAAAACAGAAATTTGGCCTAAATATTCCATTTTTTTGTGGAAAACTACCCCCTGAATGCTTTTATGCAAGTGTAAGCAATAACAAGCTAATGATCCAGTTCAAACTAATATTACTAATACACAAATGGCTTTATTACTATCTGCAAGATTTTCATTTATGTCCAGCCAAAAAAGTCGGGGCGGCGGAGAGAGGGGAAAAGGAGGGTTAGTAACCTTTAAGATGCTCTTAGAAACTTAGTTGTCAAGAGTTAGCCCTCCTTTTCTGTTCCTCCATCAGAGCTTGTGGCCATAGCAACTCTTAACTGGTACCTTCAAAGGTCAGGCCTAATTGTGAGTGGCCTCACAAAACGTTTGTAGCAAGACTAGCTTTTTCTCAAGCATAAACTACAAAATCTCTGCTTTCAACAAGCCTTGTCACCAGCTATTATTCCTGAAATTTTCAATGTGACAGATCATGTTTGACATTCATTATTTCAAAGAAAATTTTCTCAGTACTTGGTTTGGTGCCGTTTTCCTTCTCTTTTTAAATCTAAATGTGACTCTCCCTAGGTAAAATTTATCAAATGAAAACAAATATTTTGGGTCACATTATTACACAAATCTGAAACAGTCCCTTTGAAGCCAATGAAATTACACACTGGAGTAAGGCCAGGGCATTCTAATGTTACTAAAGCAAGTTGTTTACCCAACCGCTACAGAAAATCTGTTGTTATCAGTACAACTACTGGCTACAAATCAAAACTATATGAATAATGAATGGAGAAGTCATTTAATTATTAAAGTTAAAAAGCGAAAACATATCTAACATCCCTGCAGTGAATTAGGTCACTTGGTATGCACAGAGAATTCCAACTGAAACGCAAGCATTGCTTACAAAGAAGCTTTGTAGTGTGTCCAAGAACAAGAAGGGAAAAAAATAACCATTTGATTTCAGGGGAAGAGAAATTAAATGATTTTATGCCTGGGATATACTGACAAGCAATACTAGGCAGTGTCAGTGCACTTGTTACCTGAAGATGTCAGTGTCTTTTAAACTGCTAAAAGATTACAACCCATAGGATGTGGTAGTCAGAGAGACTGAAAGGCTAAGTGACTTGCTGAAGGTTATGCATCCATTCCGTGTGCACCCCAAAAAACCACAACCTGTTTCTTCTGATTCTTCTTCTCTGAATTATTCTTTCTTCTGGCATAAGGATCTGCAGACTAACATTTAGAAGGCTGCTCATTTTTGGATATCAGTTGACACAGGGTCAGTATCAGTTTTATCCTGACTTAAAAACTAACTCTGGTTTTAAAACACTGCATCAACCACAAGGAGGACCAGTTTCTGTTCCTTCTTCCAATGCTGACTTTCTGCAGAGATTCTCAGGAGGATAACATAGCCTCTTTTGCCTTAGGATCTGCATGTGTAACACAAGAAGTATAATATTTGACTCTCGCAGTGGTGTGGCATGTTGTGGGAACTGTACCACATAAATAGTTCAAAGGCCTCCTGCAATCTGAGGAGGAAGTCACAAAAGTTCGGGTCTGTATTGTTCATAAAATAAATCCCTGTGAAACCCTTCACATTAAAATCACATCCATTTAGAACCATATGCAAAGACTATGATGTAGAAAAGTACCTTGCTGAAATGCTTGCCACTGTCTCCATCCAAGCCATGATCTGGCCACCAAAAGTGTTTCCATGATGGTTTGCATGAGGAGGCTGGACAAGCTCAATACTCTGTACATGAGTAAGGTCAGTTGAAACTGCATCTTCCTCTTCAAAAGTATCTGAAACATGGCAGCAATGTATTAATGAATTATTTCAGCCAGTAACTCTGATAGCCAAGACAAAAATACCCCCAGTTAGTGAAGCATACAATTTGCTTCAGATACAATAAAAAGAAGGAAAAAAAGACAGACACAGACAACCTCTGTTCTTTGCAAGGGAAGCAAGAGGCTGAAGATTTGCTCTGTTCTTCTAAGAGACATAAGAGACAGGGGAAGGTGCACCCCGCAGTCTATCACAGCACCGTGATCCTTCCCAGCCTTCACTATATCCTTCAAAGAAGCTGTGTCAGAAGCAGTTACTGTGAAAGCTGGCTAGTTGTGAAGGCAGGCAGCCAACCGCCTCAGCATGTGCTAGTGATTATTCATGGCTGCAGTGCACGATCTCTAACTGATGCTGTCAGAGCAGTACATCACTTATTCAAATGTGTTTCATATTTGACTTTGACCACCATGTATGATGGGCATCTGTGCAAATGTGTCTAATTAAGCTTAGAGGATGACATCGCTATTTCATAACCTGCTACAGATCTTGTGATTACCAGAGACAATATAGAACACACCAAAGAGAGAAATATGGATCTGAATCAGTAACCACCTTCCATTATTTGAGCATTTCCAATTCCACTTTCAAATGTTTAGCCATACATCCTCACTCTAATCTTTGTTTTTTTTCAGTTCTATTTTGCAAAAACATACTTAGGCATGACATTTATGTCGGTCAGTTTAAAAGCGCGTATCTGTGCTAGAAGATACTTGGCCTGAACTGCACTTTTGACTTTTGCCATAATTAACTAACTTTATGAGTATATAAATGTGTGGACACATTTGACTAACTTGAACTTTGGACCTACTTAAGCTGTTGCATGAGATCCACTCAGAAGACAAACTTCACTTTCTGGATATGATTTATACCTGCTTTGCTACCTGGCAGCCTTTACATGCAGTATTTTCCTCTCTCTTTCCCCTACTTGGCTTGTTCTGTATCCTTAAGAAGGTGACTTAATGCTAACAATGATAAGATCCTTTGAGGAAGTTTCCAGGCAAGGCAGTGGAAACCAAAATCATCAACCTCTGATTTGTCTTTCATGGTGTTAAGCTGTCTCCTATGAGACAGTTACCATGAAGCCAAATAACTCGTTTGCTTGCAGCAAACAAGTCTCTTCAGTTCTACACAGTCTTATTAAATTGCTAAGACAAGAATTTATATTTTCAACAGGTTTCATCTTTCCTCAGTAAAACCACACAATGTCTGTTGTTCATACACGGAGTTCATACAGCTCAGATTTTCCAAATACCAGCATATTTCTTAACTGTTGTGAACAATTTCTTTTGCAGGGAAACACAGCAACTTTGAGCACAACTGTCTTTAAGAATAGAGATGACTATAAGAAATAAAGACAAACTTGTTTCCTGGCTCAATTTTTCTGTTTTGGTCATAAGGAGCTTAAAATAATTTTTAACCTGTTTTAACCTCCATATAACGAAGTTTTTTCTGCTTGTTGGGAATGATCTCATGGCATAAACATTGTTGTGTGTGCTTTCTTGCAAAGACACAGCCATAAGCCTGAGTGAATTTTACCCCTCTATTTATATTACAACTAGTGTCATAGGACTTCATTACTACGTTGCAAAGTTCCGTGTGAACTCTTAAACTTTACACATATAACCCACATGAAGATCTGTATTTCACATCTATTTAATGCGCGCTTGGCCTTCAATTCTGCATTTTTAAATCTGGAATTTCTGAAAGACGGAGAAAAATCACTCTATTAGAATAACTGTCTTACAAATCCTCACAAATCTGGCACGCGCTTTTCTAGAAGATACCACAACGTCAAGGAGCAATATTCAGATGTTTTGTCCGTTTTTTTCCTCCCTTCCAGCTGCCCATAAGCAATTTTTTCTGTCTTCTGTGCTGACCACAGTAATCACCTTCCTTATTACTCTCCTGCATTAGGTTCTGAAAGACCTGTTCATAGTCCAGTCGGATTCTTCTTCTCTCAATAGCCAGGGTGTGCTCCAGGTGGTCTTCTGTAGACAGAAGCTTTACAGGTTCTAATTCAATCTATGCAAACATAAAAAGGAAAAAAAAAAAGTTTCTGAATGCCATAATTATAACAAAGTGCACTTTGAACTTAAAATGGCATCAGCATTTTCTACAACCTTTTGCTATCTACTGTCCAAGATGACAAGTTGTATTAATACAAACAAGCACAGAGTTAAAGTTCAAGAGATTCTGCATTATCTTTTCAGAAACATTTGTTAAAACTCAATGACAAAGTGCTTTTAGCTTTCAAATGAATTCATGAGAACACACAGTTTAAGACAGTTCTTATTAAAAAAAGAAAAAGAAAGAAAATAAAAAAAGAACTTAATATGAAGGTTTGAGTATTGAATTTTTGTATCAGAAAAATGATCCAGTTGCATTGATCAGTGTTGCAGTTTACAGGAAAGTGTACTCCAGAGTCTGCTCCCTCTTTCACAATTCACTCCATACTCACATGACCTACTCCATCTATCTGAGGACATATATTTTCAAAGAAGCGCTGGTTTTCTGAGTTGAAGGAGAAACACAAGAACACTCAGCACATGGTGCAGCTTCAGACTCTATACATTTAGGCCCAAAATGTTACTCGTGCCCAGACACACTCCCTTCTCTTGTCAAGATCAGTCCTTCCTCTCCCTTAAGAGCTAATTCCCATGTATGTCAGTTCAATTACAAACCGAATCCAAATCTGTACTGGCTTAAGAAAATTATTACACTTAGATAAATACTGCAGAAATGCCACTGAACAGTCACTTGTGCGTTGTCTACAAGGTCTAGCCTCAGAAACCTTAAAATAATGCACAAGCACTGCAACACAGACAAATTCAACATTTTGTGTCCTGCAGTGGTGCTGTTAATGTTTCTCAGTCTTTGAATCTTCACTCAAACCCTCTTCCAGTTTCCTTGCCTCCTTTCTGGCCCTCCTCAAGAGCTTCCTAGCTTTTTCCAGATGGCCCAGCTAAAAGATTAAGATGGTGAGTGCATATTGTTGCTCTCTGTACAACTTTAGCAACAGCTGTTCAGAAAAGTGGATTTGAAAAAATGTTCTTTAATTTCTCCAAGACTTTAATTTGTGATGG